ACTATAGATTGAAGTACTCCCTTTGTGTTTCATAGCACAGACCTATAAACAACGGATTCCTTATCAGGGAAGTATTAATTTATCACTTCTTTTGAAGGCTACTTTGCCAGATAAAGAATTCTGTGGACAATTTCCTTCAGCACTTTAAAATGCCTTCTTCCTTGATTGTATGTAAAAAGCAATTGGATGTTAATCTTATTAAGCAATCTTTGCATATTGAATTACTTTTCCTGCTTTCAAAATTCTTTGTATATGTTTGACTTAAAATGTGCTTCAACACTGGGTCTCCTTGAATTTCTATTAGTAAGAATTTCTTGAGCTCGCTAATAATAGGAATTTGTGTCTTTCTTCAAATTTGGTATATTTTTCAGGTTTCTTCAAATATTTTTTCTCCTTCTGGAACTCATGCAATATGTATATTGGTATGTTTGGTCTGATGGACCCGTCTTTTACTTACTGTTCACTTTTTCTAATTATATTAGACTGTATCACTTTAACTAACCTAGCTTCAAGTTCTTTTCTCCATCTGTTCTGCTGAACCTTTTGTAGTAACTTTTTCTATTTTTATTATGGTTACTTCTACTATTTTGGTTGTTAATATGCTACTAATTATTGTAATCATCAACATTATAATTTCTACTTGACACCTTTTTATAATTTTATTGGTATATTTCAATTTGATCATTCTCCCTACTTGCTTTAGCAAGTTCATAGTTTCCTTTAACTTTGTATACTAAAGACCTTGTCTAGTAAGTTCAATATAATACTTCACAGGATTTCTGTTAATTTTTTATATATGAATGAGCTATACTTTGTCTCTTTGTGTATATACCTTATGCATTGTTTTTAATAAACTGGATATTATTATTATGGCACCTGTGAATTGGAATCTCCTCTCAAGTTTTGTCTCTGTTGCATGTTGTGGACTGGAACTATTTGCTTAGTGACTTTTATATTTTTAAAATTTTATTTAAAAAATATATATTTAGTTGTAGATGAACACAGAATATATTTTTATGTGGTGCTGAGGATTGAACCCAGTGCCTCAGGCAAGCGAGGCAAGTGCTTTACCAATGAGCTACAGCCCCAGCCTGCTGACTTAAAACTATTTTTGTAAAAACGATTTTTTATGTGTGGTCAATGGGGTTTCTACTTCATTAGCTTAGTAGTTGTCTAGTGGTTTCACATTTGACAGCTTTCCTTAAAATGTGTGCAAAAAAAAAAAATATTCTCCCCATCTTTGCAGAATGACTGTATAGTGCATTCCTTCAATATGTACCCAGCAGTGCTGATTTAGACTTCACCTCCTGCTTGGGCAAGTTGTCAAGAGCAGCAAGAAGTCAAAGTTCAGCATCTTCTCAGGGTTTTGCCTTAGAAAAACACCCTGTCCTGGCAATCTATATGGTGCTCTAGAGTCCCTGGTATATGTGGGAACATTGAGAGATATTATTCTCCAAAGTATTTCATTCTGTAGCTTTTCCTCCCAGCCTTTCAACTGTCTATTGTTTGTCCCAACACAATCTTTTGCCCCAAGCAACAGTGGTTTATTCATTTACCTATCAATACTTTAATGAAATCTTTCTCACTACAGCCCCCCCCACTTTTTTTCCCTTGCAGAATTGTTTTAGTCTAGCCGCAGACTCATTTGTTAGTCTAGCAACTTGCCCTTGTATCATCTATGTCTTGGGAACAAGACCAATTCTGCTTCCTTCAGAAACAGAAACCTACACCAGAAATGCTGGCCACCATGTTGAAAGAAGGGACTGACTGGGGAGGAAAAAAAAGGAGGTAGGGTAAGATAAAAGCCATTAAGGTAAACTACTGGCTCTCAGTTACCTTAAAACTTGATTTAAACATTTGCTTGAATGCTATAAACCTCTATTTTACAGACTTGTAACAAAATTGATAGTTTTTTTGGCCAGTGTTTCCATGGAGGAGTGTGTCCCTTCCTGACAATGTAATTTTTACTGATATGCTTAATTTTTAATGGAAATATACTCACATCTAAGTGATTGTGACATGATTTTCCTATTACACTCTGAAGGTGAAATGCTTTAAAATTTTTTTTAAATGACAGTGGAATGCATTACAATTCTTCTTACACTTATACAGCACAATTTTCCATATCTCTAGTTGTACATAAAGTATGTTGACAACAATTCGTGTCTTCAGACATGTACTTTCGATAATGATGTCTATCAAATTCCACCATCCTTGCTAATCTCCTGCCCCCTCCCTTTGCCTCCCACCCCTCTGCCCCATCTAGAATTCATCTATTCCTCCCATGTTTTTTAAAAACACTATGTAACTACTTAGATTCTCGTCATATAATATAAATGTTTATACATATGATATAAATGTGTGTATTCTCAATATATAAATATATGTAAGGAATATGGAAAAACTAATAACAGATCTTTATGAATTATGAGAAATTTGTAACTTTTGGAGGCATACTTACTCCATTTTTAAGTATGACTAGCAATAACACTCACCCTTTTCCCTACTATCAGAAAAAATCACTAGTTACATGATTAATCTGATGCAGTACAACTTTTCCTGGTGTATGAAAATTAACCATGTTTCAATATTTAAAACTTTATAAGCTATGTGAACTCTGCAGTACATTAAGGCTCCTAAAATCCTTTCAAATATTTTGTCCCTAATTCTTTAGATGATGTGTTTGCCCATTATAGAGCTTCCTAAAACACCATATGTTAATGTCACTGATATAAAAATAATGTCACGGGCTGGGGTTGTGGCTCAGTGGTGGAGTGCTCGCCTAGCACGCGTGAGGCACTGGGTTTGAGCCTCAGCACCATGTTAAAAAAAAAATATATATATATATATATATATATTGTGTGTCCACCTATAACTAAAAAATAATAAGGAATGATGTTATTTTTTAAAAAATAATTAAGAATAACTACTCTTTAAGTACCCTTAGGGAGGTTCTTGTAATAGAAAAGGAACACTTGTCAAGCTGTGTGGTTAAAGCAAGATCTAATTTCCCCAACTGCCATGCCCACTGAATTGTAATTGACAAGGAATATTCTTTATGCATAAAAGAAAATTATGGTAAGCGATAAACACTATTGGGCTTACTCATGTGAATATCTAATGCAAAGAACTGTATGCCAAACAAAATGCAACAAGTTATTCATCATATGTTGTTATTAAATGAAACTCCTTTGGATGAAATTTTGTACTAGGATTTTTTTCTTCAGGCAGAAAAGTGTTTTTTGTTTTTTTTTTAAATTCTAACTGGAGTTGGATAAATATACAATCAATTTTATGAGTTTAATACAATGAATCTGCCTGTGAAGTGATACTACAGGATGTAACATACCAGATACAAACCAATTCTAATTGTCCAGCAAAGGTAATGAACACATTAGGTATGTGATTTTGCACATAACTGCATTCTGTAAGCACACTATATATTGAGTCACTTTTGGCAGTTTTGCTTACAGCACTTACTAGAAATGATTTGTTGAGACAGATTATTTCCCTCTAGAGTAATATCACGAATGCAACAACTATCTATAGTGAAGCTAAACTATGCACTTTAGAAAGAATTTTTTATTGATGAAATTACTTCTAATGTTCAGAAGCAATTATAAAATAGAAGGTGGAAAACTTACATGGGATTAGGAAGTATTTATTACCTTGGTCATAGGGTCTGTCTGAGAATGATCTGATTGGTCATGATTTAAAACAAAAAAAGCTTTGTAGAGAAATTAATGTGCTTTGTCAACATCATCATTTAATCAAATGCATACTAACTAGAAGATCATTTTGAGATTTAAGGGGACCAACTAAAGTAAAAAATTTGGTCTCAAATTCTTTGTATTGTCTGAAGTCCCAAGTGAACTTCTAGGACCATAAAAATATTAAGTGGCTTAAAATTATAAGCAGTTAAGAATTACAAGTCAGTTACTACCTAGGGATAAGCTTGAAACAAATAATTATTCTCATATATACTTTTCCATAAGTACCATTTCCATAATTTCCATGAATTTATTATTAATCCATGACTAGGAACTAGGGAAATTAGTGTTTTTAATAATAAACTTGGGGAATATATGATAAGGTTAATATAGTTCTGAATTATTTTCACTGAATATTATGTTTTGAAAAGATACCTTTCATCCTGCTAGCACACATATTGCCCTGGGATATAGCTTGATGAACATGCATCAGTAGATTTTTATATCCCCCATTCTTCACTGAAATTCACAGGTACCAAAGAAGTAAACTCAGTGGAACATACCCAATTCCCGTCTGAGAGTATATAGCTAGAACTCCCAATAGACAAAATGCTCTGTGGTTAATTATTCAGCTCTTAATGAAAATTAGATAAGTTTTGACTTACTGAATAAAGAATTATTTTCCTATATCTATCTTTGAGTTGCACTACAGAGTAAAAAGTAGAGGTTTGAGAGTTTGGAAATGCTAGTTATGAGTTCAACATTTTATTTTTGGCTTTCTGCTTCCATTATTCCTGTAACTCTGACAAAATTTACATTTCCTGTCTAAATTTCAAGGTTGTTGTGAAGAACAGATATAATGTATGTGAATGTGCTTTATAAACTAAACCAGGATACAAACACAATATTACATTCCTGTGTTTGGTTTTCAAAAAAGCTTCATTGTGTTATTCACTCATCCCAGGAAAACTAACCTTTCATAAGGATTTAGGGCATGGGGCTTTGATGAAAGTTGCTTCCATAAAACAAAAGGAAAATGGCCATATTGGGTTAGGTTTGCTCTTATAAATTTGGATTCCTGGATGATCCTTGTAAAGATGAATAAATATTAATTTGTAGTTTGATTTTGCTTCCATTGTGTGATGGCTTTGAGACATGTTGATTTAGTGCATATTTGCTTTAGATTGAGAATCCATGAAGAAACTTTTTCCTAGGCTAGTTATCCAAATTGCTGGTATCATTCATCCTACACACTTTGAATTAGTTATGATTAATAAGAACAAAACACTATTTGCAACAGTGCACGTCCTTTATAACTGAAACTGCAGTAGTATAATTTTCCATACATGACATGTTTTCATGCATATGCTTTATCCCTGTACAACACTAATAATTCTTTAACATACATTCCATAGGTTTCCTTAACTAACATTGTGGTTTCCCTTACAAATGAGTGAACAGTTCTAAAACAGTTTAGTTACATTGTCACTTATTTCAATCCTGTGGCATACACTGAATATGCTTGAAAAACACTGTTTCTCTTGTAGATTCCTAAATGCTACCATCTATTTCTATAAATTAAATTTACTAGGAAAACCCAGTTTTAAAAAAGTATACAAGAATAAGCTAGCTTATCACAATTGACAAAGAAATGAACTCAAGAAGTACAAATATTTTAATGTCAGGAACAGTTTATCTTCGTGGTAAACATTCACTTTATGCAACTCCCACTTGGCTTCATTTAATTAAAAAGCTGAAAAAGAAAGAAAATTATTATGTACTGAACATAAGAAAAACATGATATGCTTTTTAATCCATTCTAAATTAGTACAAGTAAAAGCAACAAATGTCATGATTATATAAATCCATCTAATTGTAACTTTGCTAATGGGGGTATTTTTTGAAACTAGTTTCTGTAATGGGGTCAGGCTTATAGTGAGAATAGGGTCAGAGGTGAGAAAAGATGTGATGACTTGAATTGTGTTTATAAAAGCATCTCTCATCATTGGGCTGGATAGAACAATAGTTAAACATTTAGAATGATAATGTAGGGGAATAAAGGAAATGGACTGAAATATTTGAATTTGAATGTCCTAAAGAAAATATTGTTTTTTCTTATTTGTAATTCCTTACATAAACCATAGTTATTTAAACATTTGGTCTTTTGTTATTGTGGTTTGCAATTTCATTATATTGGACAGTCAAAAACAATGTACATGTAATTAAAATTGTCAATAGATTTTGATAAAACAATATTACAAACAGATGCTGGTACATATAGAACTAAAAGGAAAGTGGAAATATTTTTTAATATCCCTAAGCAAAGTTTTATTTTGTAAACAAGAATTTAACTTTGTAAGATATCTTAAATAATTTATTAAGTTTAAATTTTATATTTGTATCTGCCAAGATGTGGTACATTTTTTTAGTTTTCACAAATGAATAAGACACAAATAATTGTTAACTAAATATTGAAGCACAAAAGAAACTAGTGATTACTGCAGCTGAAAACCATACTGTGGAAAACTGTTCAAACTGTTTAAATTTATTATATCCTAGGCATATTGTATTGTCTTTCTGAACCTCGGTTTCCTCATTAGTGAAGGGTATGCTTGTTTTGGATGATTTCCAAAGTTCTTTCCAGTGCTAGTATTTTATGATTCTTGTGCTAAAACTAAACATATTTTAAAATATGCATTTTATTATAAGGCATAAAATATATTTATACATTATTATTTTTAAAGTACAAAAAATAGTAACATCAATATTAGTAATTACATAATTTACATTGTAGTGTTATTTATAAAGTTATACAGCACAAGAAGAATAATTAGTATACCTGTATTTAAGAAATTATCAAATCATGCTGATTATCAGGATGCAATCAGACACTTTTATTTTTCAAGATAAGTTATAACTAAAGTGCTGAAGGGGTAACCATCTCCATGAAGAATGCCAGCAATAAACCTCATTAGAACACCAAGCTTTGGTAGCTGCTTAATTCATGCCACCTTTCACAATACCGATGGCAAAAAAGATAGTAGGTATGTCACTTACAGATAAACTTGTTGGCATTTCCTTTCCTCAATTATAAGCTCACCCTGAAGATAAAGTTAATGGAAGAATGATGGCTAATGAAAAAAGAAACCATAAAGTATTTTAAAACATAGTTGGAAAAACTGGAACTAGAAATGGAGGACCTGTGGGATTTTTGATTTTTTTTTTTTTCTTAAAAAAAAAAATGACCTGAAAGTTTCAAAAATGTCCACCAATAAAATGTTAAAAATACACCTGCATAAAAGCAAATATAATATAACCCTCTATAATTTTATAATGCCTGAATTTTTAGAGCTAGAAAGGTCAAAGTTATGTGATATTTAGATGCTGATATATTTACAGAGTAAAAGGATCTTTACAACTACATTTTATATGAAAATAGATTAAAATCCTTACTATGCTATTTTCTCATTCTAGTTCTTCTAAACTGAAATGCTCAGTGATTACTTCTAAAACTTGCTGCAATAATTGCTGGTTTATATCTTATTATGAAATGACAAATATGTTCAATCTCCAACTGCTCATTCTATTTATTGTCCTACAACAAAGGATAAATCTATTAAGTAGGTTTCTTTTCATAAAAATGAGGTATAAAAATCTTTCCAATATCTTGAATATATACATGTAAAGACATGAACACAAAAGTGTCAATTTTGTTAAAATGTTAACGAATAAGAGTTCATACTTTTTAAGGTAATTGATCATTCAGGATTTCATGTTTTTATTTTTAATATATAAATATTAAATGTCAAAGATAATGCTCAATATGAATGTTTTATACTTATATCATCACTCAAGGGATTAATCTCTCATTTCTATCTAGCTGAATTTTTTCTCTTTTCACAGTTACTTGTCTAATAATTTTGATGTATAATCCAAAAGCATAACAGTTTTTATTGATTTATACTCCCAACAATGCTTGGATATTTTTCTTAATGTTTATCACAAAAATGTATAAGTGCTTTTACACTGTACTTTAAAAAAACTCACAAATACTAAAATGTACATAAGTCTGCATATCTATAATCATTAATGACTGTGGCCACCTTACACTGGAGTGAAAACATGCATGGGCGACTTTAACTGGGATGGCAATATAAAATAGAAGCATGGGTAGTAAACTGTACACACTGAGCTTTGATAGCAGGGCAGAACTAGCACAAATTCTCACTTGCTCCCTTCCCTCAGCATGAAGGTTTTCAACTATCTCCTTTCCAGTCTGCATAACTTTCTTACTTAAAGTATGTGAGGGCTGCAGATGAATACCTGTATACAAAAAGATGATCTTAAACAATTCTCTTTAAGAATGGCTCTCTCATGACTCCCTCAAATATCCAGGATTTAGATAAAAATGCTGACTTGCTGAGGAATGATGTTCTAATAATTCATTACCAAGTTTGTTATTTGAAATTCAAAATAAGTTTTTCTAGGAAACTTGATTAAATTTTATCCAGACTGTACAGTCAATTTCAATAAGCATTTAACAAAGAACTTGAGTATTGTACACAGAAGGTATGCAGAAAATGAAAGGACTGAAAGACATGGTTCTTATGTTTTTATCTAAAGGGGATAAACCTGCTCAAATTAGTTAATGCGTTGTTGAGTCACAGGGCTACAGAATTTAAAAACAAATGAAACAAAGCTGACATTGGAATAAGTAAAATGATGGAATAGTAAAATGAAGGGATAGTCTAGTCTAAAGAAGCTGAATACACAAAGGTATCACAGCATGAAAATTCATTAAGTGCTATGTTTTGTATGGCTAAACAAGGAGTTACAAGGAGTTGGTATACTTTCAGTAAAAGTCCAGAAAGAAAATATTTTAAAATTTCTGGACTATTGATCCTTTTAAAACTACTCAAATTGGTGTAGAATAAAAGCAGCCATGAATACTATGTGAATCTGGATGTGCTTCAAATAAAATTTATTAAGACACTGAAATTTAAATTTCATATAATTTTTACCTATTCACCTATCAGAATATTTTGTCAATGATTTAAACTATAAAATCCATTATTAGTAATGTGGGGCAAACCAAAGCAAGAATTAGTTGCTGATTCCTGAACTAAACCATAGGTTACACTGAAGGCTGTACTGTACTATAAGTGTAGATGAGCCCAAATTTAAAGTCATGTTTTATCATCCAATATTATTGTATAGCTAGTAAAATTATACTTTGGAAATGGTTAGTGACACTGAAATATGCTCATGATACATGAAAGACATGTGGTTTACAAGATGTGTGTAACAGAATCCTTCCCTAGATTTAAAGCATATGCAAGCTAAACTGTTATTTGATAACCTGGGTGTGGGGATTGATTAATTTTATTTTCTTCCCACTTTGCTTGTCTGTAATACATTTATCCTCCCCCACCCCCTGCCACCATTCTTCCTCATCAGCTACCAATGGGTTTGGAAAAAGTAGCTACGTAATTGGTACATATCTTAAAATGATAACTCTGGAATTATACTAGGATAATACCAAGGATAATGACTAAATATCAAGATATATATTAGGAAGCTAGCTGTAAATTGTAAATTAAGATGGCAACAGTGGGACTAGAAAAGTGATGAAAACCAAATCAAATGACATAATACAGGACAAGGGTATGTAATCAGTACAAAATGATTCCAAGGTCTGTATCCCATATGACCGAGAATGTCTTAGGAAAAATAAGTGGCAATACAACAGTTTTGGAGGCAGATATGACATTGATTTTGGACACAAGGTGAGCTGTTATGTAGTATTCACATCTAGATCTCAAGTGAAAGATCAAGATTTGTCACACATTTGGGATTGAAAAGCAACCTAAAAGAAAAAAGGAAGGGATAAGAGTGTCATGTTATAAAATCCAGGGTAAAAAGTTTTAAAGGGGATGGGGGAGGCTGTTCACCTAAATTGTTAGAAAGGTCATATGAAGAGAACTCTGGCTTTTCTTGGGTCACTGGGTGGTCATTGGAGGATATAATAAAAACATGTCCTTTTCCCTTCTGGTGAAATATCTGAACTAGGAATGTATGTTTTGCTTTTTTTTTCCTTGAATTAATTACTCTGTTCCTGGTGTTTTGAAAAACCAACATGTACACAATGTTCCTGAAGGAATGCATTCTGTCCAATTGGGAAATAGTTGAATTTTCAGTACACAGAATTTTCTTGGACACTGCTCTTACCTTCTGTCTCAAACTGGGGGAAGGAATCAGGGATATCTAGTGGTTACATAAAGGCACTCTGTCTCAGAAATTACTTAGGTGGTGAAAGGAACAGCTGTTCAGATTTTGTATTCAAAAAGGGGAGCGCAGAAAGAAAGGCCTCATTTCTTCACAGGTCACTGGTTGAATTTTCACTCCTGTTTCACTGGCCTATGATTAGTGCAACCCAACTTGTAATTTTTTTTTTTAATCTTCACATTTATAAGTGTTAAATGGGAATGCTAGGGAGCAGTACATTAGAGCTGTTAGGCAGATCTCTTTAGTCAAAAGTCCTAGGGCTCTTTTCTCTATAATAGAAGATTCCTGAACCCAGAAAAGTCTTCAAGTCTGAAATAAATGGTCTTTTGAAAAGGCCTACAGAAATTCAAACCTTTATTAGCAAGAAAAGAGATTTTTGAAAACAAACCTTTCTACAAGTAATACGGGGTAATAGCCATCAAGCCTATTGCTAAGGCCAGTTCTCCATGCAGCCGGAAGAGGGGCAGACTGGAGTTTTGATTACATGACTATTAATAGTTAAGAATGACAAGAAACATGGACACTAAGTTTGGGTGGGGTGGGGGATAATAAAGCTAGTATGTGGGGCAAGGGATAGATGAAAAACAACACATTTGCATAACAGGAACTTCCTATTCCTTCCCTGCTTCCAGTGGGATGCAGAATGTTGCTGTTTCTGCCAGAGTAAATGAGCTAAATTTCCCCAACAGAAAAAGTCCCCTAGAGCACCTCTGTGTACATGTTAACTCAGACTGTTTCCTATGCTGGAATTAGGATACGTGGTGTAGAATCAAACTGGTTTCAAATTTCTACAAAACTTAGTTAATGTAGAAGTTATCTATATCTGAAATGATCAAATGTTGGTTTTACAAAAGAGTAATTAAGTTAACTGTGTGGAGGACTTGTTTTGCTTTATTAATCTTGTATATGTTATTTATATTGTTAATGGGAAAAGGGATTTGACTATATTTTTCCTATGCAGAATTAAGCACATTTTCATTGATCTAGGTTTTCATTTCTTCTCAAAATTGATAACAAAGAGAAGTACATTTTGAGGTGGAGGGAATATGTTTGAATATTTACAAAAATGGTTAATTCCAGGGGTCAAAGTCTACTGGTAGAAATTTATACTGAAGATTTATCCCTGTAGCAACAAAGTATAACAGCATAAGACTGTAATTATAGGAGTCTCACAATTATCTTACATTTGTAAAACAGTAATTTACTATAACTTGTCTTATGAGATAAAATATGGTCTTTATTTAAAAGATGAGGAAAACTGAGGCTCAGAGAAGATTAAAAGACTTGCCTGGGATTATAGTTTTTAAGTGCCATGGTCCAAATCAGATCTTCTCACTCAAAGTCCAGATCACTTTCCAATACACCACAATGAAATACAACAATATGGAAAAAATAATCCTTAAGATTCAATTTCCATTTGTACAATATTATCACAAGATTTAGCACTGTATTCTTTATCTAGATAAGATACAAGATGGTGCCTTTATAGCACTCCCACTTTTTCTAAACCACATCTACATCTTTGGACCTTTTATGGACTCGGCATGAGAAAGGCAATATGGCAAAATTCTTGTCAATGACATACATTGTGTTGTGGTCAACAAATGTGGTCACCAAATTTATTTCTATATTTTTTATTTGATTTCTCTATAGATGAAAGGTAAATACAAGATATACAGATGAATACTACGTTGCTATACACTGTACATCCTGAGAATTTTTGGCCTTGCTATGCTTGTTCGTTCACTATTGTATTTTACCCAGAATTTTTAAGAATGCCTTTCATTTCTATTATCAATCATCTTGCAAAATAACCAAAGGTATAAAGATACTTATAGTTCATGATAAGATAAGGGGAGAGACTGTGTCTACTGTACGTTTAATTAAAGTGCATTCTGCTTTTTTACTTGTAAGATAGCTCAGTCAGGTTTCTGGAATAACTATCTTTCCACACATGCCTTTAGTTATGTGGACCACCTCACAACTCTAGGGGGTGCCATTCAATATGGATTGCATGTCCTGAAGTCATGCAATCTGGCAAACCAGCGCTCTTCACTCTATTTAAGTTACTTTGCATTTACTGGAAGTTGATAAGAATTAACATCTTTAAGTAAACAATGAATTAACAAGTATAGGATGAGCACCTACTATGTGCATAGCACTTTGTAGATATAAAAAAGGTTTATTTGTCAAGGAATCTTTCCCAAAGGTCTTACAGTGTTCTAGAAATAAACACATGAAGCAGTTGTATATGAAAACAATAAAAAATGTAAATCGGTAAAGTGCTATGAATAATTAGTGCTAAAATGGCTGGTACAGGGAGAGATGTGGATGACAGAATTAATTTGTATTCAGAACCCACTGTATTTCAGTGGCTATAAATTTATCCCCTTAAAATTCTGAGGTAAATATTATATGAAGTTTACAGATGAAGAAAGAGGCTCAAGAAAGTTAAATATATTGCAAAAGATAGAGAAATAACAGACTACTCTAACAAGTGAAACTGTCTCTAACACCAGAAAAACACTATTTTAGAGCTGAGGAAAAACAAAACTCAGAAGTCCTAAAGTTAAGATCCAAGATGCACACTCAGATTTGTCTAACTGAAGAACCAGAGCTTTTAGCTACTAATATACCAAATTAAACAAACTTGAACTCAAGTATTATTATTCCTGCCTTATACCACACTATGTAAAACAGTTAAAGAATCTTGAGGATGATTAGGCATCAAAAGGACAGTTAGTAGAGATTTGTGTCATAGAAGTCTTCTGAAGAAGATTTGTAAGTCAGGGTGCCAGTGGGAAATACAGAGAAGGTAATTACTAGTAAGTAAAGACAATCAGGTATCCTTATTAGCACTTTGCCCTTAGAAAATAGGGCAAGAACTAAAGACAATTTTTATTCAACATGCAAAATTTCTCAATATAACTCAGATGGTAATTAGATAAAATTCATAAGAAACCTTATTTCACTGGTAATATCAAGGGCCTCTGGAGTCCAATTAAGTTCATCAAAAAGTTCAGGGAAAAACTGCTTCACTCAACTGAATTATGCAAATATGAAACAAAGCTACTTAATGTTTAGTGTTTTTTTTTTAAAGCCCTGTTTAGAAAAAAGTAGATTAAATACATCTAAAATAATTATATCAAAATTAATGATAATTAACATCAAACATTAATCAATACTATGTAGCAAGCAACAGTGATCTATATGCATTCTCTCAGGTACACAGAATGAGGTAGTGAAGTCATCTTCAATTTACAAACAAGAAAACGTAAGGTTAGAAAAGTCACACAGTTTGTCCAAGGAGACACACAAGCAAGGAAAGTTTGCTTATTGAAACAAACAAATCTGGGAGATTTTAGTAATGGTATAAAACATAATGCTGCTGTAGAATACACCATTAATACTAAAACTTAGGGAAGATTTACAGAAATAGGATGTGTGTGTGTATATATATATATATAATAGCTTTTTATGCCTTTAGCGGTGTACATATATCAAGATGAAACAAATTCTGTAGTATGAAATACTGAGAAAATATGAATATGATGGGGGCATAAATGTTCAAGAATTTATAAAAATAAGATTAAAATAATGAAAATCAGAAAAGGATCACTCCAGGTAGAAGTAATTATGGGTTTCAAATTAAACAGAATTCAAAATTGTGAGAAAAGAATTAAAAAATGGGTTTAAAGATGATCATGGACATGGTGCTATGTATAATGATAATTATCCATATAAATCTATCAGACTGGTACAAAAGCTGTAATTTATAGCAATTCAGAAGGAAGATTCTGAAGGATATAAATAGCAGAGAACAATGACATAATACTCAAGAAAGTAATCTGATATTAGGCTTGAAGCCTAATAATCCATAGCTACAAGCGATTTTTAATGTACATTTTTACTAATAGGTACCTCAAGGGTCTTATCCCAAGCATAGACTTTCTTTCTTTTTTTTGGTCCAGATACTGTTTTATTCTGAAGTAGAATCATGTAGCATTAGGTTGACATTTTCAGCTTGGATTACACCACCAGTCAAGTAGGATATACTGGAATCATTTGTCCAGTCATAAAAACCAAGAATAGTTCATCCCAGCCCATCTGAAAGTGCTAAGAAATATCAATATAATTTCCACTGAAATTATTCCCAATTTCATTTTCACTCATCAGCTTTCCAACCAATCTATACTGAACTAACTATTACAAAGCATTTTTTTTTTGGGGGGGGGAGGAATGCTAGGGATAAGAGTCTCAAGCTTTCATGTACTCTATCACAGAGCTACCACCCAGCCCTTCTAAGAGATAATTTTATGCTTCTTTCACTTGACCCAATGTGAGTAAGTCACCTTCCCACTTTCCCCAAAGTACACTTATTTCCTCCAAAATGCCTGTCTATAAAGATACTCACATTAACCTGTTACTTTCTAAATCTCTGAAACTGCCCCATACTGTCCATTACATCTTCTTCCTTGTACTTTGAAGATGTTGGACAACCTCCATCATTTTAAGCATACAGCAAATCATTTTTGTAAAGTGTGTAGAAATGGGAGGTTTTTCTAAGAGCTACTATGAAGGAGAATATGTAACTATCTTTGCAGTTCACCTCTTATTTAATTAGGTATACGTGTTAAAACTGAGAAAGTCAACTATTTGGTTTTGGCCAAAAAAAGCTTTCTTTCCTGCTATAAACATAGCACACTGTATTTCTGACATAGAATGCCTGAATTGGTTTAGATCTTGGATCCCAAGGTCTATGGTTAAAGATTGTAAGGGTTGATGATCTCTGAAAATAGACATCTACCAATGCCTTTTCAGAAATAACTCTAGGACATTTCTTTTAAATAATGGCTTCTTGCATTTCATTCACAACCTGCCTTTACCTAACATGAAGGCTTATTTGCCTTTTTAAAAGTATAGATGAATGCTTCTGGGAATACGGACTGTCCCTTAACTATGTGGTGCTATGTTCATAGTTGAACGAGCTACTTTCACAGGAAAAGGTCTTTTCCTTTATCATCTCGCCTATCTACTTGTCTCAGAATTACTTTTCTTTTTCACTCTTGCTTTTACCATCGTTTTTGCTTTCTCCAATTAATTAACTGTACAGATACATATATTTTTAACTTGTTCTGCCAGGTTTTTGGAATTTAGCTCAGGATTTGTCCAGAATTCTGGTATATACATCTCTGTAAACCTTTTTAATACTACTTTTGAAATTTACATATTAACATAATAATTTATAAGAATTGATAAAAGTTCTGAAGGGAAAAACTTCAAAGCAAAATTTCAACAGAATAAAGTAGATCCACACATCTTATACATCATTAGCATACATATAGTTAATAAAAGCAAGTAAGTTTTGTAAGTGGAAAATAGATATTTTTCTTTGTTTATAATGCTCCTTTATAATGTACTGAATGGAATTTATATCCTACATGGCCTGACAAAGCAAAAAAAAATGAGTATGAAACATAAGGAGGGCTATCTATATATACTATTAAGGATTTATGGACACATGATGAGCAATTTGCCAGAATCATATGTAATTCTCATAAAAGCTGAAGATAATTACTTGAAGGCTTTAATATGGGAAGTGATAATTAAGCTAGAGGAATAATTTCAACTGGATAGGAAAACAGTTGAAATCTCAGTAAAGATCTGAAGAAATTTGAAGGAGAATATTATAAAACATTAAAGAACAATTAAAGGAATCACATCTTTGACCATGTAAATTATAGTGGCTTTGATTTAGTAAATTGAAGGACATAAAAACAATTTTTATTAACCAGCTAACGCTGTGAGTGACTCAGTTCTTCTGCCTATCTCCTATTGTTCCATTTAATGTATTTGTAAAATTTATCATGAAGGAAAAAAAATAAGATAAATTCTAACTTAAGTAAAGTTGCTTCTTCCTCTTGAATTACTCAAGCTCACAAAGGAGTCAAGAGAACGGATTAGGAAGCTATTACCATGGTCTTCAATATCAAATTGTCAAGATGCATTGGCTACCAGATTATTGAGGTCACTGTGTATCAGACCTCACAGAAATTTTTCAGCTAGAGAAATAATTAAATGGAAAATTGATTTTTTTTCGATTATAATGTTTCTCTATATTGTAATGAATGTAATTAATATCCTATATGGCTCAGAAAAGAATGAGTATTAAACAACTTTTTATTTACAGGTGTATAGAATTAATGAAGTACAAAAAAATATGGCACAGGAGAAAGAGAACTGAGCTGATCATCAAAAGTTCTACTTCTACCTCAAATAAGATAAATGCTCTCAGGCTCATCTGTAAAATGAGTTTGAGGGTAATATTTCCATGGTCCTTTCCTGTTCTAA